CCTCCACCCATTCCAACCACCGGTCCCAACCCGAACCCCACCAACAAGTGCCTCCTTGTACCTACTGTTGGTCTCCACCCCACAAACACACACACACACACACACGCACAGCTGGAAAAATCTCGCCTGTGCAGAAACTGAAGCTTAATTGTACCCCGGGGTAAGTTACCGTTATCTACATATTTAATTTAGACAGGCAAACGCAAACATACACACACAAACACACACAAACACACACTAAATTCCATGGTTTGTGGTGAACTGGTGAAAAAATCAGGGAGCGAACCTTCTAAGAACCAGGTCTAAGAACCAGAGTCACCAAACCAACTTTTACTGATGACAAAATAACCTCTTTTCATCAATTAATTAATACATTTTTAATTATGTAAACCAGCATAAAACTGTAGACTTTTAGCTTCAGCCAAACCTCAAAACATTCACTCAAGTCTTCCACAGCATGTTAGCCTAAGGCGTTCAAAAGATAAAAGTTAGCTGCTACCGTCTAATGGCAGAAACAGAAAACAGAGCAAAACAAAATCTGCAAAAAGTTCAAGGGAAAGATAAAAAGTAGTGAACAAAGCATAAAAAAAATAGAGCTGGTTAGTTAGCAAAATTAGCATTAGCCCTTGGGCTTCAGGAGTCAGCTCGTGTTCCCTGCAGGCTCCAACCCCCCCATCAATTTTTTTTTAGAAAATCTTTTTTTTCAGAACATTTTTAGAAAAACAATTTTTCTAAAAAGAAATTTCTGAAAAAAAATTTTTTTCAGAAATTTTTCTGAATGTTTTAAAATTTTTTTTTTTAATTTTTCTAAAAAATGTTCTGAAAAAAATTATTTTAAATAATTTTCTGAAAAAAAAAAAATTTTTCTAAAAAGAAAAATTTTATTTAGAAAAAAATTTTCTGAAAAAGTTTCCTAAATTTTTTTATTTTTTAGAAAAAAACATTTTGAGAAAATTTTTTGAAATTTTTTTTTCTAAAACCATTTTTTGAAAAAAAAATTTCAATTTTTTTTTAGAAAACAAATTTTCCTAAAATTTTTCTGAAAAGTAAATTTTTTTTAGAAAATTTTTTTTTTAATTTTTCTGAAAAATGTTCTGAAAATGTTTTTTCTAAAACCATTTTCTGAAAAAAAAATTTTCAGAATTTTTAAAAAAAAAATTTTTTTTTTAATTTTTTCAAATTTTTTTTTAGAAAAATTTTTTTCCTAAAATTTTTCTGAAAAGTAAATTTTTTTTAGAAAATTTTTTTTTCAGAATTGTTTTTCAGAAATTCGTTAGAAAAAAAATGTTGGTGCTTTGGCCCAGAGCCAATGTCTGTCATTGGTGTTTGGTGTACCCAAAACATGTCTTACAATAAAAAATTAAAAATCCAAAAAAATAAAAAGTCCCTGAAATGCCTTAAAATGCAAGATTATGTCCTAAAACATGCTGCCAGGTGATTATTTTGTGTTTTGAACTCCAAACACTCCAAAAAGTAAACTTCTGTATTTTGTGTTTTGAACTCCAAAAAGTAAACTCCTGAAATCCAAAATCCAAAATCGTACCTGCAGCTGTTGTCCTCGGGGCGATGCGGCAGCGACGCGGCAGCACGTGCTAATCCCATACGGGCGAAGGCGTGATAGTGGCTGAGGGCGGAGTTAGAGATGCCGGCGAGCCCGTCCGTCTCTTGCGCGTATATATTTTCCCAGTAGGCTTTGAGGCCCGGCGTGTCGGCAGCGTACGCTCCAAAGAGGAAGGAGTCCAGCTGGTTGACGATCTCCTGGCTGACGCTGGCCTCAAACTTCCTGGCAAAGAAGGTGGGTCTGGACACTTGCTGTGGACAAACCCCAACAAGGACACGGACAATGATGCACTTCAGGGAGCGACAGAGACGACTGACAGAAACTACAGACCACATCAGACACAGACACCTGAGAGTTGTTGTGTTTTTTGTTTTTTTTTCAAGTTCAAGTGTTTCTAAACCTTTAGCTAAAGGTGAGGTGAGGTTAAGTGTTAGCATGCTAATGGCTAACTTTAACTCTGACGGAGTACAAACTCTGCTCAATGCTGTTTTCCCATGTTTGACTTTAGAGTATTTTAAAATTCTAACGTTGGCTATTTGTGCCTAATTTACATAATACTGGCCTAGTAATTAGTTAAAATATGGAAAATGATTCCACAGTCCATTTGTGGGTCACACTTCTGTCCCAGATCTGATCTGGTCTCCGAGTCAGATCCTGAACTTCCACACCACTCACTCCAGGACTTGTTCTGGTTCCTGACTTTTAAACCTCACATTATGATAATGACAGCGTTAGGAAACCTCCGTGGCAGCAGGCAGCTACATAGCTCCCAAAATACCAACTGCTGCTTTCAGGATCAAACCCTCGCCGCTCCGTCACCACTGAACCACAGACTCTGGACCAGACTCTTAACTGACGAGAACGGACGAGGGAAAAAAAAGTCTTTGCTGCAAATTTGTGAACTTGAGAATCTATTCTGGTCCAACACCAGCAACAGCAGGACAAGGAGAAAGAGACAGGAAGCTCAGGCTCTTTTGGCTAACCTTTAGCTTTTTCTCATTAGACTTTTTCTTTAACTTATTAATAACCATTAAAGCAGAGTAGGCAAAAAAATGATTTTACATAATCATTTTCTTTCCTTAAACCTTACCAATTTCCTTCATTCATAAAACAAATCAAGCTTTTCTTTGCTAGCTTTTAGCTCATCTCTAAAACTGAAAAGACAGCGTTGACACTCACAGACAAATGATCCAAGGCCTGAAAGAAGAGAAACATTTAAATGGACAAAAGTCGGAGTCAGACCTGGAAGCGCGGCAGATCCGAGGGCTTGAAGTCGTTGGGCGAGCAGCCGCACCAGTCCACGATGTGCTTGTACTGACACTTACAGCCGAGCTTTCGGTTCCAGTTGGTGAGGCGCAGGTTGTTGTCCACCATGGTCTCACAGAGGGCGCTGTTCTCCAGCACAGTGTGGAAAAACGACTGGAGGCAGAGAACAAAGAAAACTGAGGATCTTCACGCACAAACATACGATTTCAACTGTTTTTCTTCTTTCAAATCTGACAAATAAATTCTACATTTAAACAAATTAGTACCAGGAACTTTATACAGTAAGTTCCCACAACAGAACCAAGTCACAGAGCCTGGAACAATTCCAGGAACTCTACAGGATGAATGTGTTAGCGCCGGCTTAAAACGACAGATAAAAAAGACTAGAACGGATGGATCCTTGTGTTTTTTTTTTGTTTTTTTTGAGACCTATAAAACAACAAGGACAGAACTTGGAGGAACTGACTCTCATCGTCTCCAGTGGACTTACAGGAAGCTGCACTTAAAACCTACTGGAGAAGAGGCTAAAACAATAAGGTCAAAGTTTAAACTGCTCTTAACCTTTTGACCTTAAAGGTCCCCAGAAGACGTGGATGGTACGATGACGACTTCCTGTTCTAAATGTACATTTCCGTGGTGCATTTACCTCAGCGGGCAGCAGCGTGTAGGCATAGAAGCGTTTCATGCTGCTGACCAACTCATCCCTGGAGTTGACCACGTAGTTCACAAAGCCGCGGTTAAGCAGGAACCAATCGGAGCCGCCGTCCACCGCAATCCCTTCTGGGATTTTTCGGTCCCCGAGTCGCCACATGTGAGTGTCGCACTCATAAAAGAGTCGGTCCAGACCTTGTTTACGGATGAACCTGAGACGATGGAGTGAAAATTAACCATTTGTGATGTTGAAGTGAACGCAGGAAGGAGACAGGAAGTGAGTAAAGAGCTGCTAAAGAAGATAAGAACTAACTTTAAACCTTCAAACTAAAAAGAGGTTTGAACTGCATTTAACTTTGGACACAGGCTAACAGAGAAGCTAACAGAGAAGCTAACAGAGAAGCTAACAGAGAAGCTAACAGAGAAGCTGACAGAGAAGCTGACAGAGAAGCTAACAGAGAAGCTAACAGAGAAGCTGACAGAGAAGCTGACAGAGAAGCTAACAGAGAAGCTAACACAGAGGGATAACTGTGTCTCACCGCGCAGTGTCTCGTCCGTGAGATTTGATGAAGTTCATGTGTCGGTACTTGGACAGGAAGGAAACCAGCTGCTGATTGGTCCTGAGGAGACACAGCAACTGTCAATCATCAGCACCAGCGCAGACCAATCACATGACCACATCAGTCGAACACGTTTAATAAAAAAAAGTACAACAGAAGGTCGCAAACAGTACAACAACAGTGAGTGCGTGCAGGTTCTTTACAGGTTTAGGGCTGAATTTCTACAAATGCAGTTGATGATTTGTTGAAGGGAAAGTGAGGATGTCATGGGTAAATATATTTATTTATTTACTTGAATTGATCAGAATATTTATTTAACTCTCAAACACAGAGCAAACGCCCTCACAATTTTAACCAAACTTGAACAGGTTTGGATCTAGAACCATCTGATGTTTTTTTCTCTTCCTAATAAAAGTGAAAGAACATTTATTTAAACGACTGTCTTACTGTCTAAGACACAGTGAATCTGCAAGGCTGTGACTTTTCTGATTGGATTAAATATTTCCTGAGGACGACGACGTCCACAAACACACAGCTGATGTCGTCGAGACTAAAGGAAGGAGAAATCCTGCAAATCACGGACTGGTCCTTTAAACTGCACAGTCTCTTCTTCCTATTGTTTTTTAAAAGTTTTCTCTGTGACGCCATTGCGGCCTGATGTGCCGCTATTCCCAGCATGCATCATGGTGGAGGCAGGACCACAGACAGATTACAGCACAAGTGTGTGTGTGTGTGTGTTTGAGGCCATGTTTGTGTTGACAAGTTCTCCACTCTGGTCAGATCTGGGCCGCTGCTGCGGCAGTCTCGTCAGAAACGTCGTTAATCAGAGGCGGAAAGTCAGGCGTTAAATCAGACGCTGGAAGTTCAGACGGAGAAGACGACAGAGACCAGAGTGGGTTCTGATTTCCTATTGGTTCTGTTTCCCTCCTGTTGTTTTGACCTGGTTCTGATGTGCTGCAGCACATGAGGCTCACTCTCTTTTCTAACGTCACTGCTATTGATGTTGCGCAGCTAATGCTAACGCTGCGCTATAGATTTTAGCTGAGGGCCTGTGCACATGATCCCTGTGGTTTGTACGTGTGGACGTTTGTCCTATTTCCATCTGAAGAGCCAACACTGGAGCATACGTCTGGTTTGTGTTAAAAGATTCATTCACAAAAAATTGTTGAGTTAAAATAAACAATTAAATTAAATTACAATTATTCTGGACAGTATCAGTTAAATATTTAAATGTTAGAAGAAAAAAAACAACCGGATCTCTCACCTGATTGGATAGTCTGCTGCACTCAGGTTGATGAAGAAGTCCCAGGACCAGTCGGACATACTGAGGAGGTCCTCCATGCTGCGCAGGTACATGGTCAACAGGCTGGCCCCGCCCCAGATGGTGGACATCCTCCAGGGAGTGACCCGTACATTTGGAAACCTGTCAGCCAATGACTGGATTTCTCTGTGGAGGTAGTTGGACCGCTGGAGTTCAAACAAAAAAACCAAACATATTTTTAACCAATTTTTTTTTTTTATACGGTTTAATGTTTTTTTAACAGCAGTGAAATGCTGTGCTCGTTTACAGCTCTAGTGAAATGTTGAATGGATGTGTTTTTGACTGATTCCTGCCTCTGAGGCTAAAAGTGTTCAAAAGACTGAAAATTCGCCAAATGCACAGAGTCAGAGTCAAAAGCGGACAGCACAATGTGGCCCACGTAGACCGCACCAGTCTCTAACTCACCTGGTCCACGTGGATGTAGTAGAAGTGTGAGGTGTGGTAGATGGCCTTGAAGAGACGCTGGAACTGACGGGACGCTCGTCCATGGACGACCAAGACGAAGGCGATTCGTACGGGCACCAGAGGGGCGGCTTCTGAGGGGTCCTCATCCCACCCTACGTTAACGTTGGCCTTGCCTGAAAAAGGAAAAGATCAGAATTTTAATCTCAGATTTCAGTTCAAATCGATCAACTGCTACAGACGTCCAACGATGGCACAGGTCAAGGCCTGCCCTGGATCCAATTAGTGAGCATCCCCGGCTGTGGGGCATGCTGGGAAAATAACTGTAATCAGGGTGTCGGTGTGCAGTCAGAGGGAGTGAGCTGCTGCTGACAGCTGAAGAAATGATGAAAAATGTTAGAAGTGCCTCATTCTTCTCTTCAAAAGGAGCCGACGGGGCCTCCGTCGTCGGTGGGACTCCACCATCAGACCAAACCAAACGATCCCCGGCTTCAGTCTAAGTATGTAAATGACCGGCGTTTCATCAAAGCAACCTATAATCATACAAATCAAAGCTCAAGCTCGACTCGAAAAAAGCTCGGTGCGGATCCTGACAGAACACGGGGAAGTCATTAGTCAGCTGATCCAAAAATAAGACAACACCGGCTGCCTGTTTAATGAGGGTGTAGTTTACATTTAATGCGTATCATCATCATCATCATCATCATCAGGGTGGAGGTGGAGGAGGTGGTTGTGAGCTGCCTGTGTGTCCCTGTAGGACTCAGGCTGCCAGAAATAGACATGGAAAACCAAAGGGTTGCTCTCCTCAAGGTCAGGCTCATGTGGATTAAAAAAAGTTTCCCCAGGGATAAATTTAGGAGAATAAAAAAAAAAGAAAAGAAACGTGACTGTATGATTTCAGTCATGTGCCTGATTTAACAGAAGTAATTTGGCTGCAGATGAAGTAAGTTAAACTGCAAAAAGTCTCAAAGTAAAAAAGGGTGAAAAAAAAGCCTGTTCTAAATGTTACACAGATCCTACCCTTCTGTACCAAAGTCAATAGTGAACATGAGTGATTGTTGCCCACTGGGACACACGGAAGAAAAGTAGCTAAAATATGCGCTAGCAAAGTGACAAGGTTAGTTGCTAAAATAAAGATAAAACAATTTTTTGTCATGAAATGGATTAATGTTATCCAAAAAAAAAGAAAAGATAAAAAATTAAACTTCAAGTAAGAAAATAGGTAAAAAAAAAAAGAAAATTAAATTTCGTTCACAGACTAAAGTCCATAGAAAAATGTCTTGTCTATGTGAGCTTAAATAAAACATTTTCTCCGTGGACGTTGGAGTGTGAGAGCCAGTGGTTTACAAACCAATTTTCAGCCTAAAGAGAAAATCTGTGAGTCTGAAACCCACAAACCAAGAGCGTATGTCTGGTTGCCCTTACCTTCTAGGGGGCAGTAGCGAGGCACCGTCTCAGGCATGAGGGCCTTCTCCTTGTGTTTGCAGTAAACTTCTACAATCTGCTGCCGACACTCGCGGCTGGTGGCGCGGGACAGAGCGGATATCGCCTCCTTTCCACTCAGCTCACACAGCAGCGGCCGCTTCTTCGGCTCCAGCGGCCGACGATGACCCTGGTGGACGCGGTCTCGAACTGCGGCCGAGGTGGTGGCCACCACCGGTGGGTGATGTTGGGTTTTGCGGAGGTAGGTGTGGTTACGACTGCGGTCGTCCCCTCTTGGTTGGAGCGGAGGGAACTTTTCGACCTCATTGGCCGATTTTTCTCGTATGCTCTGCGCTTGAATCGGCTTGTGTTTGCTGTTCGCAACCAGCCCTCGCTGGCGTTGGGATCGGGCGGCGAGGTTGCTGTTGCTGTCGACAGAGTCAAAGTCTTTGGGGACGGAGTTCTCGTTGTTGTTGCTGTCCAGACGGAGCTTCTCTTTGGAACTAAGGGCATGGGAGTAGATGTTCTGTGACGGAGCTTCTCTTTGGAACTAAGGGCGTGGGAGTAGATGTTCTGTAAAAAAACAAACAAATAAATAAATAAGAAAACAATCTTCACAAACTTCGCAGTATTTTCAACCTCATGTTCCAGAAGAACCAGAAAGTCGCTGAAGCACCTGGGCCTTCTTGAGGCCCACGCATGGTTTCTGGTTCTTTCCAATCAAAAGCTCAAATAAACTCAACTGACTCGAAGTTAAAGCCGTACATTCACTTCTCAAGAGTCGGTGTTTTCCCTGTAGACTCAGTGAAGGTAAACACACACACACACACACACACTCCTGCTTTTACAAAAAAAAGTTTTCACTCACATAACCACAGAGTAGAGAGAAAGAACTTCTGTTCTAATTTTAAATGTTTTATTTTATTGATTTTTTTAAAACTGTGTCAAAAATAAAAGGAACGTAAATAATTGAATTTTTATACCATATTTCATATTCTCCCGGTTTATTTAGTGACTAATGGACCTGGTGTTACCCATCGTGGCCAGGTCTTCCTTGAAGAAGAGGTTTTAAATGTCGGGAGAAATGTTTCCAAATTAAATTAAGGGTTACTGAATCATGAATGAATTAAGAACGGAGCAGTGGTGGGTCTGGAGAAAACAGACATTAATGACACTCAGTGTGAGTCCATGTGAGCTGCTTCACTCAACTGTAGCTGCAGACATTGGCCTGATTCACTGCTTCCTCTGGTTGGTTAAACAGTCTGTTAAAAAACAGTCTGTTTCTGTATGTGCAAAAAATAAAAATATCTATAAAGACATAGAGACAAGAACGAAAGGAGACGTTTGGTGGACGGAACAAATTGAATTTTCTGTCTGTAAAACTGAAATAAATAACTTTTTTTTTTCTACATCTTTCTTTTTGACCACAAGAAAGTCTGGTAACATGCTAATATTAGCATGGGAATGCTAAAGATGAGCCTAGATTTGGTGGAAGCTACGATACAGAGAACACAGACCTAGAATGGCTAAAAGACCGGTGGGATTTAGACCACAAAAAAAAAAAAAAATAGAAGTTAGAAAGAACTGAGAAATAATTCAGATTACTCCAGAAACACAGTCGAAAAGAGATGAAGCAGCGTCAGGTTCAAAATGACTGTTTTTAAGTTGGCCAAATATAAAATCTATGGTTCGACTGTTTTTAAGTTGGCCAAATATAAAGTCTATGGTTCCAATTTAGTTAAAAGTTAAATAGAAGCTGAATCACAGTGAAGGAGTAAAAGGTTGAGTGTTGTTCCTGCTGCTGCTACTGCTGCTGCTACCAACAAGAGTCCATTCATCTCTCATCACTCTGCTCCTATAAAAGGTGTTGGTATGTATGTGTACAGCTGCTAACACACACACTAACACACACACACACACCGAAGATGACAGAGCATACTCTCACTGTAATGAGAGGCTATAAAAATGGATCCATGCATTAAATCCTAACACACACTCCCACAAACACACACACACACACAGACACACACACACACACAGACAGACAACATTTGCTGAATGTTCCTGGTGAGTCTACGTCTCAGTAGCACCGGTTTGATCATTTTATTATCATCTGTGATAAACACAGCCGCTTCCTCTGATGTTGTAGTTGTTGCTGTCGCTGTTGTTGTTGATTTAATGACACTGCTGGAGTTTTTAGCCAATTCACAAACCGCTCTAAAAATAAATAACACCAGTTGAAGTCAGAAGGCAGCTCTGGACTTTGGTGTGACAGTCTGAGCAGTTTGTCATGGGATAAATGCTCAAAAATGTATATTATATAAACAAAACAAAAAAAAAAAAATCAGCATGATTTTTAAAAATATTATATAAACAAAACAAAACAAAAATCTAACAAAAATTAGCATGATTTTTTTTTAAATCTAACTTACAACACTAAAACAAAGGTTCACAAAATGAATAAAACATTCAAAATCCCAAGTTAAAGATGATGTAAATGTCCGCGTTTCAGTAATGATAATTAACAAGTATATCAGATTTATTTATTTTGATCTCAATTTTTAGGGGAAGTAACATGCATTTTTTATCATTTAACTGAAAACGTTTTATTTTTTGTGTCTTTTTTACAACTCAAAACTGAAGTACCCTTTACATCTACATGTTATTATACAGACATAACCTCATGTTGCTGCTATTTTTTTTTTTTTTGGCAAAGCCTAAGACCATTGTCTAATCAATCTGCAATTTGTACCCCAAAAATGCTACGTTTCCAGTACTTCATACAACAAAGAGTCACCCTGACTATCTTGTAGCAACCGTGATTTAAAAAAAACACGTTATATATTTAGGTTGTGGTGATGTCATTTTTTTTTTTTAAAGAATAAATGTTATGTTAATGTTGTCTACCGTTAGTATCGGCTCCAAGGAATAAATTAAGCCTAAATGTGTCCAGCTGCGGGAACACCGTTAAAAAAGATGAAATGAATCCCGGTTCACACTTACCGACTGCAGCTGGTGTCGAAAGGCCGCCCTCCCGGGCTGATGCGGCGGGTCACCGGGCCTCGGTAGTCCGCTCCTCCGCAGCTCTCTGCCCCCGGCATTGTTCAATCCAGCGGTTCGCTCCTCTCTCCGCTCCCGGCTGGTGGAGCCCGAGTCAAGGCTGCTGAAGTTCCACACCACCAGGGTCTGGAGCAGCAGTAGCGCGGTTACCGCGGCCAGCAGCAGGACAGAGGCGGATCGGCGGGCCAGCCTGCGGCCACACGGGAGACCAGCGCTCATCTCCGGCTGAGAGTCAGGAGCGCAGGTCCATCTGCTAAACGGCGACAGCGGGATGTGAGAGGGAGTCAGTGCCGCCTGAGAGGAGCCGCTGGCAGGCAGAGCAGGAGAGGAGGGGGAGCGGGAGGAGGAGAGAGGAGAGAGGACAGAAGCTGCAGGTGCAGCAGCTAAAGACTCGAACTCCGGCGCCACCGTGTGGATAGTAGCCACTGCGCACTTTAGACAAAAACAGGGCGTGTTTTGGTCCAGTTATGACGTCAAGATAGGCGATGAAAACCAGGAGCCAACCTGCTGTAATCAGAACACATAATTTTAAACCGTTTAACATTCTGTGTCTACGCTGCGGGGGTTCGTGAGGTACCTGGAGAGAATGTGCTGCACCGCCCTCCACTGTTCACATCTGATAATACACTGCTCACCGACTTCCTGGTGATTTGGACAGGTCCACAACCTGCCGTCTTAATAACTTCCATGTTAAGAAGTGTCCGACTCCCTGGATGCAAACGAACGCTTTCTGTTGGTGAAGCTACAACGGGATACTGTACGGAAATAACCTGTTCAGACTGCTTTGTGCCGAAAACCTGTTCGGACTGCTTTGTGCCGAACATCTCTTCGGTGTGGGTGTAGCTTCTCGCTGCTAATGCTAACCACAGGTGTACGGTCGCACTTCGTCGGCCCTAGTCTCATATTTTTTACTTCTCCCAACTTCGGTGGAGTCAGCTTCTGCTCTGGAGAAGCATTCCCCCCCGCTTTAGCAACATTTACATCCATGTTCTAGGATATATTCTCAACATTTTTAGTGAACGTTGCTACAAGATGTCCGCGTATATTTCGAAGCGGCGACAACATTCACCACAGGCAAAGACATTGGTCAGTTCTCACCCAATCACAGCGTACGACTCCGCGACCACGCAAAACAACACACTATCATTTTATTGTTCCTATATTTCGAAAAACAATATTGGTTTCACTTGGAGACAAACTTTTCGTTTTTAAACGACCGCGTGAACTGTCTCTACTTGTCTGTAGCCAACATTAACTCTGGTAACTCTGGTAGATGAATAACATCTTATTCATCTACTTCCCTCTGGACAATTTTACGTCCTTTACCGCCCCCCACTGGGCTGGAGTATTTTCCATGAAAATACCAGTATGGCAAAAATTAAGGGACAGAGATTAAATGTGTACGTTAAATGTATTAACACGTTGATTTTCCCGTAATTTATTAATCAAAATTAAACATTAATCCCAACCTAATAACAACTTATCAGAACCTAAGTGATGGAAGAAGTAGCACTGCTAAAATAAGCAGAGAAAACAAAAAGAGATTTCATTCAATATTTTTATTGTGGAAAAAGTCACGTTAGCTCCTCCAAGTGAAACTGTACAGTCATTAATTAGAAAAAAAACATGCCTGGTGTTTGAGCACACACATGCACGCACACACAGCTTTTGCCATCAAAAGTAGTGTTTTACTGACGTTCATTTACATGTTCCTCCTCCTCCTCATCATCATCAACTGTGTTTTACATAAAAAAAGTTCTTCCATGTCTCCAATTGTTTTCCTCAAACAATCCCTTTGTTCAAATAAATAAATTAAATATAAAAATAAAGTTCAGACAAAAAAATGAATCATAAACATTCAAAACATGATCAGGGCATCAGGCAAAAGTCTGTTTCTACTTCTAGAGTGTTGGCGTGGTTTCACGTGATTAATGCTTGAATCCTGACAACAAGAAAAAGCTAAGAATAAAAAAAAAAATCATTGATCAAAATCATGATCATTGAGATAAACACTTAATTATGACTGTAATCCCAGAACTAGACTTATTCTACAAATACTAACTTATCACAGAATTTTCACTTTCCACTGCACTTACCAGAAACACCATGTGATGTCACCTGAACCTTTGTTTTGAAAAAAGCCATTGTTGCTTTTTCTGTTGTTCCTTGAGACTTTTTACATACTCAAGAGGGCGCTAAACAAAGACCATTTTAATCCTTCTCTAAAATAAGCTGCTAGCTGTCATCAAACTGCTGGTTAACATTATAATTAGCTGCAAATATATGGCCTGATCCCAAGGCAACTTCAGTTAGCAAAACTACATGCTTTATCAACTGTGTGATGTTAGCAGCTAATGTAGCCTGATGCTTTAGCACTGGTGTTTGAGATTAACAGCTACCGTCACTGGGCTTAATCACATCTTCATATTCCTAACGGAGTGTGGTGACGTTGAATCTCTAACACTAGCAGCTGCTGTCACTGTCGCCATGTAAACAATGTTCGAAGTTAGCAGCTAATGTAGCCACTGTGGCATCTTTGTATAGTGTTAGCTGCCTGTGTAGACATCTTACTTTGTTCAATGTCAGCAGCTAATGAGTGCACTCAACATGGCATCTGTGTTTAGCATCAGCTGCACATGTAGCCTGATGCTAGGACATCTTCAAACTCAACAGTTTCTGTATCCACGAACGTCTGTAGCTTCTCTTTGTAGCTTTTGCATTTGCTGCAGCTAAATGTTGAAACATCATTGTTTAACTTTAGCAGTTGCTGTGACCAGATGGGCAACTCAGCATCTTCAATGATACAGGCTACAGCAGAAAGATACCACAGCAACATTATTGGTCGTTTTGCATTAGCCGTTGATGTTGTGGCCAGTTTTAGTAAAAAGGGGAAAAAACAATTTTTAGCCAAAGTTTGTGAATTGTCTGACATATGATAAAAACCAACTAAACCACCAGTTAACACCCCACCTCTCAGTTTGTTATTGTTTTGTGGATGTTGCTGATTCGACCGGAAGAATCGTTGCTGAGTTCTAACAGTTGAAGATCACGTTTGTCTTCATGTCCAAAGACACAGAAGGTGTCCAGGTACGTCCTCTAGCTAGTCATTAGGATATCTTACAATTGCTGCGAGTGCAGTTCTGAGGAGGACTCTGCGGCGGACGGATGGACTTGGAGCGTTTCAGACTGTTGCCTTTTGAGCCACCGGCAGGGTTGGCCACCGAGTAGGAACGTCCATGCATCATGACGGCGTTCATGCCATTGGCCATGGAGAAGGACTTGAGGTGGGACTTGATGGCAACGGGCAGTGGGAGCTTGTCAATGAGATGGACTGGAGTGCAGGACACGATGGCTCGGCAGCAGAGGTCCTGGAGGCTGAAGACTGCAGGAAAAAAAACAAGGAAAAATACTTCTAACATCTTGACCAGGGTTTTGTGGTTAGGGTCAAACTAAAAGAATGTATTTAAGGGTCTGAAAGAGCTGTGCTCGGTTTTGTGGTTAGGGTCAAACTAAAAGCATGTATTGAGGTCTAAAAGTTCATTCCCACATCATGTGAGTGAGTCTCACCTCTGTTTGGTCTCCAGAACTTCTCCATGCCGTGCCTCATGAGAACGATGCGAGACAGCTCGGTGAAGGACTCGATGACGTTGAAGTTGCACAGGGGGCTCACCTCAAAGAAGGTCATGCCGTTCTTCTCGGCGTACGCCCGTGCCTGCTCGGTGGGAACCTGTCGTTTGAAGGCCAGGTGCAGACGGTTGCCCACCAAGATTCGAGGCACACCTGGGGCATGCTGGGAAGATAGAATAAAAAAAAGAACTTAGCTCTTCACTTGTTAGGTTCATGTAACTTAAGAACAGCAGGACCAGCGTGAGCTGAAGGTCAGGGTTCACAACAGTGGCAGCTTGGACGCCTCTTAACTTAAAAAAATAATATAATTCAAAACAGGAAACACTGGGTTAAAAAAATTAGGACTTTCTTTAATAATATGTGTGACAGAATGTCATGAACACAGGCCTCAGGTCTCAGTAAAGACATTGTGTGAACATTTAGTCATTGAATGTAAACTGAGTAATAACTTTTTTTTTTGGTTTTTTAATTAAATATTTTGTACTCAAACAGTCCACGCCTCCTGACCCTGTTTATAAAAACTGGACTCTGGTTCTGAAACTTTGAGTGAACGACTTTTGGATGAGTTTTTGTTTTTTTCTTCTTCATATCATCAGCAGAGGTGGAGCAGGAAAGACTGCAGTCAAACACACATTCCACTTGACAAAAATAACACACACACACACACACACTCACAGTTTTGCCAGACCTTTAGAAATGAGGTTCTGCCTCATTAGTAGAATATATGGAACCGCTGGTCCTGAAAAGTTTATCTTTAATAGCAGAACAAAGTTAAACATAACCCCGCACACACACCATCTCTCAGTCACACACGCACAGAGGAAATCCTCTTTCTGTCCATCCATCCAGGAAGGATACGTCACAAACCGTCCTAAAACAAAAAACATCTTGTTTATGTTTTTTCCACACTGAATCTTCAGCTCCATTTCCACAACAAAGGCCCAGGGACCTAGACCTAGACCGTTCCAATAACTACGTGTTCTGGTCATCAAATATACTGTATATCCACTGTCTCAGTACCAGCGGTCAGTCCTGTGAAGATGATGTCCTAACAATTCTAGAACAACCTTAAAGTTCTGGGACTAAAAAAAAAAATCACCTCAGAACTTTTCTTGCACTACTCGTAGTTCTTAGAGCGAGTTCCTGCGTTCCAAAGCCAAACAGTTGGGGTACAACTTCACACAGAAGTCCTCGGACACACTCAGATACACACAAACAACGCACCTCGTCAATTTCTCTGATCCACCTGTCGATCCCGTCAAACGACCAGCGGTTGGTGATGTCATAGACCAGAAGGATTCCCTGGAGACGAACACAATCATGTTGCTGTGAAAAACTGAGAGGGTTTTCTCTGAGGATGTTACATCACCACCGTCACACTTCCTGCAGTCGGTCTTACCTGAGCTCCACGAGAGTACGACCGGAAGATGGTGCAGAACCGACCCTGTCCTGATGTGTCCCTGAAGACAAAAAGAAAAAGGTGAAACAAAACACAAGCTTCTGGCTTCTGGTTTTCTATGTGTTCACAAAATAAAAACCTGAAGAATCTAAAATGCATTCAAAGAGATGCTGTGTTTTTTGTCTGGCTGTGGATGTGTTCATACCAGAGCTCCAGCTTCACTCTCCTCCCATCCAGAAGAATGGTGGTGGTTTTATAGTCGATACCTGGACAGAGACACAGACACAGAAGTTTGACTTTGGTAAAACTCGAGCCGATCCGTTTCCTTTCCACGCAGAACCTGAGAGACTCACCGCTGCTGTAGGCATAGGGAGACTCAGCTGATCCGTCCTGCAGACTGTCCAAGATCTCCCCTTTACCCACGTCACTGTCTCCCACCAGGAGGAACTTGAGCAGGTAGTCGTAGCTTTTTACAGGGCTTCCCTGGCTGCTCATGATGACCACTGCTCACACCCAGGTCCAGAACATGCAGAGCCTGGGAATGTCCAACTGAGCTCCCAAGAAGTCCAAACAGATGAAGGTGTATCTGTCCGTCAAACCATGAGCCCGACAGTCAGTCCAGTCCTCTGAGATTGTTAAAGTTCTGTTGTTGTTGGTTTTTTGTTTTTTTTACTGCAGTAACCTAAAGGAATAATGACGTTTTCAGCATGGATTACTTTTCAGGTCATTTTCTCATTTCAGTAAAAGTTTAACAACATCCTCTGTTTAGCTTAGCTTTGACAGGTTTAACTTAGTTTATCAATGTTACGCGTTGTCCGGCTGAACGTTGCTTTGTCAATCACAGCTACGATCGTTTTCACTAAACTGAAATTATTTTAACTTGGACTATTTATACTGCGACTTTAGGAGAGATTTTTTTTTAGCTAGTATCATTTTAGCTCAGAACAGGTCAACGTAGCTTTATTTAGCATAACCTAGCATACCAGATGTCAACAATATAAACCTGTAAACATCACCTGTTAATCTTTTGTCTCTTTAAGCACACGGCCGCTGCTGACTTGCGATGAATATGAGAAAATAATTTATATTTCTTTAGTTTATAAAATAAGACTGCAAAGTTTTTCATCCTTCTGAATTATTTCTAAAGCAATAGCAAGAGGAACATCTTAGCTTAATCTGTCATTGATGCTAACAACACCACGCTGAGCCGTGCTGTGGTCGATGCTGACGTCACCAATGTGGTTTTTAGCTCTGGTTCTAGAGCACCATCAGTGGACTCTCCGCTCACACAGAAACCTCCACACTCCCTTTGTCTGTGGGACTGTTAAAAATCACAGCGGCCACGGTCGCTGCTCCAGCCGGACGTGAGCAGCAGCTCAGGCCGCGGCTCCTTCCTCCAGTGTAGGAACAAAGATTCCTTTGACGTCGCTCTGTTTTTTGTTATTTTTTTTCTTTGTTTTTATCCCGAAAGTCCTGTCGGTTCCCCGTCTCCTCTTCAGGTCTAGTCCGGTACTCTGCTAGACTTTTTTTCTGTGGTCTCACGGTTTTTCTTCGGGACACGGAGCCATTATGAACAGCGGTAGCACACCAGTCTCCATCAAGCGGGAGAACAGCGAACACTGCTGCCGCAGCTGCACCGACAGAGCAGCAACCACACGAGCCACGCCCACTCTCCACTGAAGCACCGCCCTTACGCTGACGCCATTGGACAGCAAGTCAAAGGCAGTTTATGTGGTTGGTCAAGGTTACCTTCCGTCATAGTGTGTTGACAACAACAACACGCAGATGGTGGTGATGGTGGCTTCCAGAAGAAAGAAAATGCTTTTGTTAGAACTGATACAAAAAGATAAAACTGAAAAAAAAAAAAATTAAATTAAAGATTAAAATAATTTTTAAAATATTTCAAAACACATCACTGCTGCTCATGTCTCTGTTCTGTTGTAGAACACAAAAAGAATTGTAGAAAATAAAATAAAATGCTCTGTGCAAATATGTTCAACTGTAGCGTGTTTAAAAGAATAAAAGGCATCTGATCTTATTAAAAAATAACACAGGAATAGTTTACATAAAAATTTAAAAGTAGTCTGCATATGTGATCTCAAGTTTCTAAAAATTCACTCTTATCATTTGACAAAAATTTGACTGAAACATATTTTCTCCTTCTTCTATTCTTATTTTTAAAACATATTACAATCTAACAACAAATACCAGACTAGAAAACTAAAGGATGATGTTTTAGACAAAGAACATGGAGTGTCTTATCAATAACAATGATTATAGTTACTTTTTATTAAATTCACACACATTGATTAGACAAAATAATCATTTTCCAACACATTTGGTCACATTGACATTAATAGTGTTCATGGTGTCATTAAAAACATTTGTATTTCACCATATGGAAATAATATGGCACAAATTCATCTAAAGTTTCTAGAAACTATAATAAAAACATGTTAAATATATAATATCAACTGTCCAGTTGTTAAATTTTTAATTCTTCAGTATAAAATAATAAAGTTAAACACGTTAACACTATGTTCACAGTTAGGGATTCTCATACTTCAAGGTATTTTCTATTACTTTAGAAAAGGTAAATAATAAAGGTGGGAAAATTAAAGGCGAAGGTGGAGGTGGTCAAAAGCTGACTGTGAGCTTTAACACCCTCACCTCCCACATAAGGGGGTGGGGAGAGAGGCAGGGAAAGACTCCTGTTCACTCACACAGTCAGTTTGTTCAATATGAGCCAGTGTTTTCAGTCCCGCAGACAAACATGAAACAGAATGTAAAGACAATGTTAATAACAAACTCAGAATTAAACGTGAGGATCAAACACTCTGACCCAGAACAATCAGTCAGTCTTGATGGTCTTGTGTTTCCAGGGGTAAATCAGCTCTCCTACAAACAGCTTCTTCACTAAGTTGGTCCAGGAGTCTTTTGGGTAACAACTGTAAGTCGGAGTGCGGTACGTCTTAATCACTGAGGCACAGGACAGAGGGTTGATCTGTGAGAAGAGAGAGGGAGAGAAAAGAAGCTGGAGCTCAGCACTCATGGATCAGTGTGTGGGGACGGTGCCATGCTCGGTGGCTTAGAACCTGCAACCTTCCGGACACAGGTCCGCTTCCTTAACCACCAGGTCACTCACCAAAGCCCTCCTGTTGATCACTGCATTTTTTTTTTAAAAACACAATCCAAAGCCTCTCTAAACATCACAAATATAGATACAAACAAATATATTGCTAATATAAAATAATAATAATTAAGAAAACCTTTTATATTATTATTATTAAAAACCCCAGAGAGGGACAGTGAGCGAGACAGTGTGACAATGTCGAGTGGAAAAATATATTTCGGTCGAGCACTCGTAACAAAAGCTGCTTACTGATAAGTTGGAAAAGTGGTGTTTCAGCTAGCTCGTATCTCCAGGCTCCACTGTACTTGTTCTGTACAATGTTACTGGGACAATCTGACGAACAATGTGACTCAGTGTGGAGAAGTTCAGACTCACCTCCATCAGTAGGTGAAGTGGTGTATCAGGCTCGTCACACAGCACACTGAACTTTACACCTTCTGAAACGTTCATTCATTCATTCACCCGACAGACAGTGAAGTTACATTATATTTAGTCAACAGTTTTCAGGTGCAATACAATGACATTGAATTAAACCTTCCAAACGCTTCTCGTTCTTTTCTCCCTCTGGTAAGTTCTAGATTGTTTTACCTGCCAGTCTGTAGAAGCGAGTGAGACGCAGAGCTACAGCGAACAACGGGAGGGAGTTGATCAAGTCCACGGTGAGATGGAGGATTCCCTGCAGGACCACCACCAGGAGGCGTAGCTGTGCAGGACATAGAAAAACACATAGAACCTCATACACACACACAGGCTGGTACTAAACAGGTTTAATGTGGTCCAGTGTTTTGTTTTTGTTTGTTTTTTTACTAATTATTAAGTAAAAAAAATAAAGGTATACAGGTTGTTTAGAAGGATAATATTAAGTAAAAAAAATAAAGTACAGCAGAGCAAATGCTCAAAGTTTTTGCCCTAGATGTGGCAGAAAAACACATGGAACTTTTAATGTGTGAGTTAGAGACACTCACCAAAGTGAAGACCAGGTAGTAAAGAGCCGTGGTGGGGAAAAGGAACAGGAGGATGGTGAAGAGCAGAGTCCCTATGAAGAGCTGCAGCATCACAAAGTAGAAGACATCATCATCAACATCCCATGGTTCAAGTCACATATACTGTGTGCTCAAAGATGTGTGTGTGTGTGTGTGTGTGTGTTTGTGTTACCTGGTCCAGGTCATAGGAGCAGGAGTCAACTCTCTGCCTCAGGACATTCCACTTCTTTCCCCTGAAGAGCCTCCAGAGAGAGGAAAGGCCGTAGATCTTCAGACAGTAGAGTCTGGTTGTCCCATGAGCATACACACACACACACACACACACACACACACACACACACACGTACATTGTTTGGTGAATGACCTACTTTCCCATTAAAAAATGAACGGTCATAGAGAAAATCTTCAGTTTATTTTTACAGTTCTGTCATGGAACTCTAACCTGGCTCCGTACACGTAGAAGCAGTAAATGTGGAAGGTGAGCAGCGCCACCATGTCAGAGAGCAATGCCAGAGCAAAACTGAGGCCCAGGCCCGCCGACAGACCACCGTACCACAGGATGGTCTCCACGAACGGGGACATCAGGTGGATGTAGCCTGGAAGGAAAAAACAAAACAAAACCCAGGAATTTCATGACGTCGTTAAGTCAAGACAAAACAGAACAACACATACGAGATGTTGTCTCATTTATGTTGTATTTTTGTTTTGCTACATTTTAATTATTAGTTTCTTGTGTGTTATGCTGTAGTTAGTTAGTTAACGTTTTTGTAGCCATTGTCAAGTGTTTTTGTTGTGTGTCGAAACGTCAATTATCTCTGGGCTAACCTTCAGCTGTATTAAGTCACTTTTTTTAAATTAACCCTTAGGATACTCAGACTGTACTTTTAGCAAACTCGTAGCTATGTTTGTTTGTAACCAGTTTTTAAACTTGGTTAATAACCTTCAGTTATTTTTTCTGCTATTTGTGGCATGTTTTTACTCTTTTTTTTTTGTATATTTTGGAAATACTTCTGTGTTCATCCGTGGATATTTTCAGCTAATGTTTGCTTTTGGATAACTTTGGACTACATTCATGTCAAAGACAATAAAACTGGTCTCTGTTAATGACTCACTGATCCACAGGTGAATGTGGTAAAGAAAGAATCGTCCCAAGACCTCGTCCAAGGCCCGGTTCATTTTCAGCCCTGCAGGAGCTCCCATCAGCCACTGCAGCAGCTCCTCCAGCTCTTTGGCCACGTGCTGCAGATGAACAAAAGAATGTGTCTACGTCACAAGAGTCACTGAAGAAAAAGAATGTAAACAGGTTTGTGTGGACTCCCATGGTCTCAGGTCACAGAAGATAAATATCCCACTTACATCTGCAGCAGGAACCAGAGCGTTGGCCAGCATGCTGATGTGATTGTCACTGTAGAGCCAATACATGAGTAAGAAGCCCAGAGCCATGTCCACCAGGATGGACACCAGGACATTGGCTTTTCTGTGGACACAAGGACAGACCCAGAGACAGGTCAGGACAGACCATCACTGAACAGGGACAGAAGATTTTTTTTCAAAGCCTCACCTCATGAACTCAGAGTGCCCCACTGCTGTTTTGGGCGAACTGAGCGCCCTCAAGTGGTCACTTCTGTAGCTCAGTTGGACACACGTGGACAGTTTACTGCACAGGAAGTTGAGCGGCAGCAGGTGCAACAGGCTGCAGGTAGAATAAATTGAATAATCCGTCAATGACAATGAGTCCAGGGGAATATGTGACCGAGTTAAACCAAGCTTCATTCACCCATTCATCAGCCTGTGATTCATCCATTTACCAGCCGTGAACCCCCCCCACCCATTGGTTCATCTATCCACTCCCCCATTACCGGCTGTTGCTGCAGAAGCTGCAGATCCTACTCCACACAGAAAAGAACCAGCTGATGGTCAGACACAGTGGTACCGAGGCCATCTTCAGCAGCTCCACAATGATGCTGGCCTCTTGTCCACCAGACTGCCAGTGAGTGGACTTCAGAGGTCCGTCATCGTACCGGTCCAGCAGGAACAGGGGCTGACTGAGTGAAACTATCTGGAACACCTGCAGACAAAACAGCAGCAATCACCATTCTGTCCTTCTACAGACAGGGAGAGGAAATAGGGGAGGGACTTCTGGGTCTTATACTTGTCTAAGCTCAGAGTCTGAAGGATCTAGTTCTTCAGTCTGGATGGGATGAAGTTGTGACAGCATCACGTTCCTCTGATCATAGTGGACAAAGAGAATCGTTCCTCTGATCATAGTGGACAAAGAGGATCTTCTCCTTTTCCGTCTCCTCCTTCTCCTTCTTCTCCTCCTCCTTCTCCGTCTCCTCCTTCTCCGTCTCCTCCTTCTTCTCCTCCGTCTCCTCCTCCTCGTCTTCGTCCTCGTCGTCTTCGTCCTCGTCATCTTCGTCCTCGTCGTCTTCGTTGTCCTCGTCGTCTTCGTCCTCTGTTGCCTTTTGCTGAGCTGCTTCTTTACCTGCTGTAACAAAAATATCCTTGTCATGAAAAATCACTTTTAGCTTAGATCAAGAAGGTGGTGCTGTGGATAAAACCTGCCATCAGAACTGGCAGATTGAGTGCAGAAAACAGTGAAGCAGGGAAAAGTCATTCTGGCAGACGGAGTTGAGGATTTACTCAGGACATAATGTTGTCCTCTATCTACAGGAAATAAGAACCATCTTCAACACAAAGAACTAGAACTAGAAGTCTGAACTGGATGTGATGTTGTGGTTGTCTCCACATCCTGAAGTTAGTCTGTGATGGACATAAAGATACTGGAGGTTCTGATCCAGTCTACATCCTTCAGACAATCTGTGAGGTCTTCGGGACTGGGAGAAGCCATCTGCTGAGCCCAAAAGGGAACTAAGAAGAACAGGTGCCGGTGTGAAGGTCAAGGTTGGTCAGAATAGATACATGTTCGATTTATTCTTCTCTCCATAAACACTTTTATGGTCACACTGCTCTGACTTCTTACCAGGACTGAGTTTATTTACTATTAGCCTTTATTACTATCCAGACTTACGCTGACTCCTGTCCAGGATACTGCAGTTAAATCCTGTCTGTCCCATCTTCCGGCTGATCTGGAGCCAGCGATCCTGAGGAAAAATGGTTCTCAGGTCTCTGAGGAAGTTCTCCACACCCTTCTCTGCTTCTGAAGGTAAACTCCATGAACCCAGCACTGACAGTTTAACCCCGCTCTGAGCCTGTATCTGGACAAAAGCCAGGAGAGACAGAGATGTTAGTTATTGTTTTTCAAATCCTGATTTGGAATTTAGGAGACTTAACTTGGACTTTTATCAAACATCTTCATTTTAGACTCTAAGACTCGAGAATGATTTGAACCAGGTCTTCTGTGACTAGTACTCTAACTATACCACTGGTTGGACAACCAGAACATTTTTATTTTATAATTTAGGGGTGGAAATGAACCTCTGGAACTCAACTTATATTGGACTGGATCATTTTCATTAATGACTTAATGAGGATTTCATACACAAACACTGGGTTTGACTGTGAGTCAACGTAGACTTAGGTTTGAAGTCAAAGTTTGTGGAAGTCAAGTGGGTCATTTTGCTGCTGTACTCACCTGCTGGATGTACCGTTTGACCTGTCCAGGGATAAAGGGATAGTGAACCACTGCCAACACAACAGCAGAGTTGTGGCCTTGGATCCAGCTGCCGATCAGGAGGCCGCTGTTGGCCAAGTTACAGCACTGTGGGTAAAATATCTTCAGCACCATGACTCCAGTCCAGAACAGTCTGGAAGTCTGGAAACAGTCTGGAAAAGAACAGGACCAAGAACACCCAAAAATAAATAATAAATAAATAAAAATAAGGTCAACGAGTTTGATAAAAGACACTGCATCTGGTTTTGAATTACTACAAATGACAACATTCAAGAAGATGGATTTTGTCACTGACAAATCTGTGTCTCAGTCAGGATCCCACAGTTTCAAGTCACCAGGGTTTTCTTACAAAAAAGTTTAAAAACACTTGTTGTGTCTTTGTTAAAACCACGTCTTTTTTTCTGAAAAAAAGATTTATTTTCCACATTGCTGATAAAGTCCTCTTTGTCCTTCACACACTGAATTGTTGTGACTATACACACGCAGCCGACAGTGAGACGAATATTGATTTCAGTGTCTATACAGTCAATGACATAAAGAGTTAATCACCAGGCTCCATTTTGAACTTTACAATACTGACTTAACCGAGTCTGGATTTTAAATATTATTTTCAAATCACGTGGCATAACAGAAACACTTTTACCTTTCTTAACGCGCAGACCAGCTTCTGCCTTTCATTTGAAACAGTGACATCTACTACGCCACAGAAATCGACATTTTCTTCATTGACAGTCCGTCTCCTAAATGCTACCGGCAGGAAACGCGTTTGTTCGTTCGGCGAGTTCCTCCATAGTTGTTTTTTTTTTTTAACGTTTTCTACTAGCGGCGAGTTCCTCCATAGTTGTTTTTTTTTAACGTTTTCTACTAGCAACGTACTCTCTATAGAAACACATTTATTTTATTTTTGGCGCAAGTTATGAGCAATATGTGATCATAATGTCAACACAAAAGTTTTAACTGGAAATTATTTGTAATACAGCAGTTTATATTTACCGTTCTTATAACGGTAGTGGATGACATGAGAGATTTGCGATAAGTGTCTTTGCTGGATTTGTGTTTAAAAATGGTATCGCAAATGTAAAATGTCCTGCTGGTCTCCAATCACAACTACAACTTTGATGTATTTGGCTAAATGATACATATAATTATATTTTTAAAAAGTTTGTGTTGTTCACAGGTTTAAAGCAGAGGTAAAGGTTAGCAAGGAAAGAAATTATAATTATATTGTTTAAAGAACTGCCAAGAAATTACAAAACAGTGAAAGAAAATTAACACATTTAGCCACACAAATAGCATAATTTAAAAAGTTGAATATCACATTTTAAAGATACTTTTGTTTGTTTGTAAAACTACCCAGCTAAATCAAAGTCTAACAAAAATAAGCACTGAATTAATAAATTCCATCCCAAGATTTAGATAAATAAATAACATTTTAAAGTAAAATTGCCCAGAAGGGTTCATCAAATGTGAAGAGAAAAAACCCCACTACAATACAATCACATTGAGTTAACAGTGTGTGCAAAAATACAAACAACTCAAAAAACTTGATTGTAAAATAATTGTAAACTTTACTGAACAGCTTTAAACTGAACAACACAATCATAAAACTCACCAGAAAAAACTCTTCAGTTAGTGTGAGGGTGAGAGAGGTGGAGTGTGTGTGTATGGTGTGTTTGGAGTCAACGGTAAAGACTATTATCTGATGTACGATGACACTGCATTATTTCTCCTCCAACCGTAGCCTTCAGTAACAGGAATGTTAAGAAATAATCCAGTTACTTTGTAGCCATCTTCATGCTAACAATGCACATCTGGCTAAAACACCTTTGTTAAAAAGAAAGCTGTAGATCCTGGAATAACAGAGCACTGCTGTCAATCACAGGAGGTTTGGACAAAGGAAATAGTGGTGTTAAAAGTCTTCTTTTTTTTTTTTTTT